ATTTTGCATCTTTATTTTATTTTCCATTTAATTTATGCAATTAATTATCTTGTAAATATTCCAAAATTGATGTAATAGCTAGGTTTAAATTTCTTGTCTAAACATCCCCCCATTTGAACATTTGTACCCCCCTTCCCATATTGTGTTGTAATAGTGTAGGAATTTTACTTTTCGCACTTTAACGCTTTCTAAATATACCATGTTAGAATTAGGGTTTGTATGCAAATAAAAAGAACAAAATAGTTTGACCTAATTTCAAGATAATCAAAACATGAAAAATGGACAACACATACCACACTTGCACCCCTAGGGTATTCCACTTGTTGCCTTCAATAAATGGGCCATATTGCATGTTAGGTTTCTTTGGGTAGAACAAACAATCAAATGATCATAGTCCCTCGATGACGCTTTCGAAAGTTGCCTAAAAATGATCAAGTCCCTTAAAGGAAAATTGCCCAAAGATACTTAGCACCATTACAATTATGGTCTAAACGATGACCCGCGCCCGTCCCTTTTCACATCCTAACACAAGATTGTCCACCAAATGCAATGGTGGAACAAAATTGTTAAAAGGGTTAAAGCATAGCAAAAATCTTTGAGAACTTTAGGGTAGATAGCTCTTAAGTACTTATCAACTTACAAATCAAAAACACTTGCCTATTTTTCAAATCACACTTTCACAACAAATTTTCAAAAACCTTGAAACATCTTTTCAAAAAGACAAACACCTTTTGTAAAACATTCGAGTAAAGAATTGTTACAAGGGTAGCCTAGACAAGGCATCTTTTTCAAAACCTTTTCAAAGCCACACACAAAACACCATTTCAAACAATTGAAAACCAAGGCAAGTTGATCTAAGCAAGTACCTAAGAGCCCATGGATAACCATGGATAGAAAGGGTGCTAATACCTTTCCTTTCTATAATCTACTCCCCGAACCCAAGAAAAAAATCTCAAAGGTTTTTGCTGTTCTTTTTAAACCTTTCCTTGGGATAAAATAAAAAGTCGGTGGCGACTCTTGCTCAACCGAAACATTTGCGAAAACAAACGCAAAACCATAGTCAGTTCTCCCACCGTATCACAGGCGTCCTACTATTGCTCTAGTGACCACATGTCCCTAACATCGAATTGACCCGAAAACTCCAACGACGGTGCTACCTACTTTTCAATAGTGGGATAGTACTGTCTAAATGACATTTACACATCTTAATTTCTTTTGAGTAGGTAGAGGTTCTTAGATACTTTCTCTTTCAAAACAAAAATACTTTTCGCACTTACACTTTTCTGACAAAATTTTTCAAACAATACTTCATACACTCTTGAGGACAGATACAAGAGTTAAATCAAAGTTTTTAAACAAACTTTTTTCAAAACCCACAAACACAAGAAAAGCAAAAACTTTTGAAAACATAGTGAGCAAGTACCTAAGAGCCCGTGGATAACCACGGATGGAAAGGGTGCTAACACCTTCCCTTTCTATAATCTACCTCCCGAACCCGAGAAACATCTCGAAAAGGAATTTTGTTGTGCTTTTGTCCTTTCCTTGTTGGAGAAAATAAAAGATGGTGGCGACTCTTGCTTACCGCGACATTTTGCAAAACGCAAATGCGAACCAGCATTCCAAAACAGTCAGTTCTATTTCCACCGATCACACAGTCCAAAGCCCAATTGAATTAAAAACTGTTTTTTTGCTGTATGAAAATATAGTGTGCTGGTCCAAGTACCTAAGAAACAACCACAGTTTCAATCAGTCCTAAAACCACACATGTTTTTATCTAAAAAATAACAACTATAGAAATCAATGCAAACTAAATCATAATTCAATCCAATCTTCATCAATCAAATCCAGAAAATTAAATTTATACATAAACCGTATTTGGAAATATCAAATCTAGAAATTACAGTACAATTGAATCAAATATTTTTTCTCAATCAATCAACAACCAATTGAATCCCTAATTTTTCCAAATCTATGCTAATTTAACTTACAACAATTCTAACCGAAACCCTAAATTAAAAATCTATATATATATACTAACAAGAACTAACAGTAAAAAGGGGAGGTCAGATGAACAAGAACAGACAGAAGAAGAACACCGTATAGAGGAAGACGGAGGAGAACGATTGGGGTTTCAATCTCTGAAACCCTAACTGTGTGAAACGCCGCTGACCATCGCGTTGCCACCATCTTCAACCGCTACTCCTCCGTAACCTGCAAAAGAAGAAAAAGGAAGAAGAGCAGAAAAATCAGAAACATGCTTGAAGAAATTGGAATACATAAATCACGAAAAGGGGTAAACTGATACTTAGCTTATTGTATTGTGCTTGTATATGTGGGACTGGGTAGGGATACTGTTCTAGCACCGTCACGGAAGGAATTAGAGTTAGGGTTTGAAAGGGGGAAAAGGGTTTACGGCGCGAGGAAGAGAGAAAGGGAAGAGAGTGGTTGTAATAAAAACTATGAAAATCAAAACTGAAAATGAATAAAAAAATGATATTATGTCTGTTCCGATTCCGTACCCATGCGCATACGGTAGTTAACATGGTCTCTCGCCTTTGTCCATTCGATGCGTATCAGACGACCGTAAGGCCGAGTCTGCTTCATACTCCATACTCTCGCGCCACACAGGATCCACCCAACCCTCTTCAAATACGTTGGGCCTAAGCCCATTGATTTTAACACCCCCGTCCCTAGTTTTACTAAATTATCATGCAACAACACCCCCCTGTCGAGCCTGCATATTTGGGCCTAACCCAATCTAATTTCAGCACCCCCATCCTTTTACTCCATAATTGGAAATGAACCCCTCAGGTTTAATCAATTATTTCTTTTATTATTTTAAATACATTATATTTTTATCTATTTTTAATTCTTATACTTATTATATTTTTATAATAATAATTATTTATATTTGTAATTATTATTATTATTATTATTAATTTTTATATTAATTATTATTATTCTATATTATTATTTATTACATCATGAAGATAAATTATTTTCATTCAAAATGCATATTATTTTCTTATATTATTTACATTAAATATTTTTTAATCATGCATTAATCAAGATTTTCTCGCAATTAACACGATAAAAAATACTAACCAACATCAAGCTATTTTTCGCAATCAACTAATCTAACACAACTGTTTTTGCAAAAGGATTTCAAACGGATTTTGACTAATCACGCATTTAGCCAAAATTTCCGCAATCACTACTCCCGGCCAAAATGTGAGGTGATTCAAAATACATTTGCAACTCGTAAAAACACCAACCCCATGAACTACGAATTGAGACTCTGATTCCTCCTAAGAGGATACGTAGGCATACGATCAAAAATCGTGGTGAGTTCCCCTATTAAGATTTAAAATCCTGTTTAACCCCAAGCTTAAACCTAAAACCTAGTATCCTTGTGAACAAGGTAGATGAAAGGTGCCTAACTCCTTCCTTTTGTCTAATGAGGTCCGAAACTTAGAAACTCTATATTGCGATCTAGGGTTTCCTATTAGATGCCCTTCCCTAGGATAAAAACTAATAGTGGCGACTCTGATTAAAAATCTAGTCGCAACACATAACGTCTCTTTAGCGTTGTCGTAGTCAATGCTACCTGTAACGAAGGCTGGCCGTTATGGTTTTCTTCCAACTTTAACGTGTCCGCCCTGACCCGGATGCTAAAGGCATTTAACGTCGGTCTTTTTTCTTTTTAGTGATGGTTTTTGACCGACCTAAAACGCAATATTCTTGTAGTGTCTCGAGATTAATGATTCGGATAGAAGCATGGTACATGATATAATATTATTTCGAAAGTTGATCCATGTAGCCGACTCCACCAAATAGAATAAGACTTAGTTGTTGTTGTATATCATTTAAATCTATATTACATTTTTATCAATTGAATATATTATTCATTACATATTTTATTAATATATAACCTATACCCGTGTTATTAGTGCGATATTTGTTTGGAAATTTTTTTAAATGACCATATTTTCCTATTTAAATTCCAAAATAATAATATTTCTCAACTATATACCAAACTATCCATTTTTCAAACAGAAAAAATCGCAACAAACTGCATGCGTCAGACTAATTTGTATATTTCTTCAAAATTGTACTTAGGCGTCAGACCAATTGACACATATATATAACAAATAAAATAAAAATGAATACACATTGGCGCCAGACTAATTGGCGCATGCATATAACAAATGCACATAGACGTCAATGAAACTGCCGTATGCATATAATACCCATACATAAGTGTCAATTGATCTGACACATATTTTTACTGTGAATTTTTTTGTTTGAAATATGTGTAATTTGATATATAGTTGAGAAAAATGGTTAGTTTAGAAATTAAATTGAAAAAGATGGTTATTTTAAATTTAAAAAAATCTATTTATTCTCCAGACATATTTATTAGCAATACAAATGATTTTCATGATTATTAAAAAATTCAATCAAATGTAATTAATTTTTTAGATTTTAATGAAAACATTAATTAAATTTATTATAATATATTTTTTTTGTTAAATTTAATAGAATGTTAGAAACAAAAATAGAAAAATATATTAAAAATTACAATATTAAATATTAATTTAATAATAATTAACTTTTGTTTATAACAATAATCCAGAATTGAAGCATTATGATTTTAAAACACTAGTTTTATATTCAATATTTTAATACACTTCTTAAATGGAGATGATATTATTTTCTTCCGGCAAATTATAATGTGGAGTTTTGCTTAGCTCAGATCATATATGTCTGGCACATATATCTATCCTTTTGGTTACTATTGAAATCCATGGATGGCACATGTCTGTGTGTGAGAGGAATATTGGTTGGTCTGAGTGTGTACTGAAATCAGAGTTCTATTATTGTTGTAGTGAATTTGTAACGTGGCTATCACACAACCTCAAAAGCCAACAACTTTTGTTATAAGGCTATTATTGGTTCTTATTTAGCACCTACATCGATCCTACTTCTGAAACTTAAAAATGGCAAAGGAAAATGTCCTTCACATGAAGGGTGGTGTGGGAGAAACAAGCTATGCAACTAACTCCTCACTTCAGGTATTAATCATCTTCTACCAACAAGTAAAAGAAAAGAATGTTGGAGATAATATACTTAATAACCCAATAAATAATAATAAAGTAAAATAAAACTAACTCCCTAAAATAGTGATAGTATAAAATAACCCAATAAAATTAATTATTTGGTGAAGATCACAAAACAAATATTTAAATTGTGTTGAGTTGCTCAAATGGTAAAGATTTTTGTCCAGAATATTTGTACTGTGGAAAACACGACACAAAAATAAATATTTTTAAAATAAATAAAAAATGAAATTATAACTACATCAATACAAAAATTATAGTTAATAATATTTTTTTTAAATATAATTATATTTCTAATGAAAATTATAATTAATAAAATTTTTCAAATAATATGAATATTAAAAAACATAATAACCATATACATAATAATTTTTTTAGACTTTTTTAAAAATAAATTGTATTCTTACATACAAACATTAAAACACTAAATATTTTTCGACTCATATAAAATATACACTTAATACTTCTAAGTTGTTATTTTCAAATTTTTATTTTTATGTTAGATTTTTAAAACCTATTTATAAATTATTAAACCTATTCATAAATTAAAAAAATACAACAACAAAAATCAACCCAACTCAATATATATATATATATATATATATATATATATATATATATATATATATATATATATATATATATATATATATATATATATATATATATATATATATATATATATATATATATATATATATATATATATATATATATATATATATATATATATATATATATATGTGTTTGTGTGTGTTTTTTTTTAAAATTAAAATATACATTAATAAACTCTTACAACTTCTTGAATCTTAGCTTTGATCTTCTTCTTCCTAATTTCATCAAGAAAAAAATTGAAATAAGAAATAAAACAAAACTGTTAAAATATTAAACAAGACAAAATAAATATTATATACCTTTAGCTTTTGATATTGGAAAGTTTAATTAAATTGGTTAGGAAGAGTAGAAAATTTGGAGAGAAAGAGTAAGGATTGATGATGAGAAGAAGAAGAGAAATGGTGAAGAGGGAGGAAGAATATGAACCAGGGTGGTTCTAGAATGATGCAGTTGTGATTTATAATGGGCAATTACCGTCGTAAAAATCACGACGCAAATGTAACAGTCAGAAAATTTGTCACGTGATTATCACAATACAAACGTTTCCCCAGACAACATATTAATTTCCACAGTCTCTGTGCCAGGCACATCACGTGTTGTAGTAGGCTTTATGTTTTCATCGTGATTTTCTTGACACAAGAATTTCAAAATATTTGAATTCCTCACCACATGAAATGCTGGAAAATTTGTAAGGGAATATTTATTATTTAAGTTGCGTTGTGATTTTCACGACACAATAATTTATTCAAATTTTTTTCTTCTCCCAACGTGAAAAGATGAACATCGTTATTTTATTAATTTATATGTTTTGTATCGTGACAATCACGACTCAACCTTCCTTTTTTGCCTTGTGTTATTCACGTGGCAAATTCATGTGCTGGACAAAATATTTCTTGTAAGTGATTAAGCTTTAGAGTTGGAACTGGATACAATCGTATGTTTCTATGATTTCCAGGAAATGAGCGATTCACCCAAAAAAATTGCAAATCCAGTGGTAGATCTGCAACATGTTGCCCATTTGCTATCTACAAAACCAAAAAGCACTAAGTCAAAAAATTTCAGGTACAACATAAGCTAAGCAGGTTTCAACTTTAAATATTGAATAAGACATAATGTTGCCTTGAAATGATTCTCAGTAGGTTGTGAAACAAACTAACCAAGTTGTTGGATATCAAAGGAGATGTCGGGGCGAGTCGTTAATACGAAACTTGAAATGAAGAACAACTTTTACATTTGAAATTTACATGATGTTATTACCTGTTAAAACAATATCATCTACATAGACTAACAAAGTAGTAAAATGATTAGTAGATAATTTAAAAAAGAGAGAATAATCAACAAATTATTGGTGATAACCAAGAGAGGTTAAAGTTTCAAATAATTTAGAGTAACATTGTCTACTAGCCTACTTTAGGCCATAAAGACTTTTGTTAAGTTTACAAACCTTTGTGTTTGGATATAGGTGAGGAAGGGTATAACATTTGGGAATGTTAATATAGATTTCCTCATTAAAGTCTCCATGAAGAAAGACATCATTGACATCTAGTTGTTCTAGATGTCAATTTTGGATTAAGGCTAAGGAAAGAAGTGTGGGAACAATAGTCGGTTTGGCTACAAGAGAGAAAGTGTCAAAATAATCAACACTTTGTTAAGTGCAATCTTTATTTACCAATCCACTTTTGTACTTGTCAATACTATCATCATCAAGGTATTTATTTTTATAGATCTATTTACAACCGATATGTGTTTTATGGGGATGGAGGTCAACTATGGTCCAAGAATTAGTTTGTTCAAGAACTTGTAATTCAGTTTACATGGCTTGGAGCCAATTTTAATGTTGACAAGATTAGGAATATGTGATTGGTTTAGATGTAGGGGAAATCGAGAAGCACAATTGTTTGTAATTGGTGTTGTAAGTCTTGTAAGTGAAAATAAATGAAAGAGTAAATTTGGTGTTGTGATGATTGGTGGGTATGAAGTACTCAGTATCAATGATATTGCAATGATATTTTTTGAGGTTGGAAGGTTTTCTAGTTTTATCTAGTGAATTTCTTAATTTTTGGGGTGTTGGGTTATTGGTAGGAGAAAGTGTTTGGTTTGGATTGGGAGGAGAAGAAATATGAGTGTTTATTTACGGTATAGTGGAATGGGGAAGGGGTTATGGGTTAGGAGGAGGGGAATTATTAGGTTGGTTGATTGGTTCAAAGTATATGGTGGTAGGATGAAGAGTTGGTATAGTAAGTAGATGGATGTGGTCATGAGTATGGGTGAAGGGAAAATAATTTTCCTAGAAGCTTACATTCCTAAAAATAATAAGAGTGTTTGTATTTAAATCATACAAGATATATCCTTTGGTTCCTTATCTATAACAAATAAAGAAACGAGTACGATACCTAGGATCAAATTTAGTTCGATTATAAGAGAGACTAGAAGCATATGCAAGGCAACAAAAACATTTCAACTTATCATAATCAAGAATTTTGTTATACAAAAGAAAATAAAGAGTTGGATGATTAATAAGGGGGGAAGAAGGAGATTAATTACATAAACAATATGAGCAATATATAAATGCCATACATGTTTAGAAATATTAGCTTGAAAGGAAATAGATCTTGCAATATTTAGGATGTGTTGATGTTTTCTCTCAACAATGTCATTTTATTAAGGACATTCAACACAAAACCTTTGATGTAAGAGCACTTTAGATTTGTAAAAATCAATCATCAAAAATTCAGGATTGTTGTCGACACGTAGACATTTTAAAGTTGTGAAAAAATGAGTTTGAATGAAAAAAATATAAAGTGGGTTTACCCCACCCTTTCCCCAATAATTAAAAACTGGATTTTCCCCGCACCCATCCCCGCCTCCGGTTAAATCGGGTTTCCCCGATTAAAATGCATATTATTTTGCATATGCAAGATCAATTTTAGAGGATAAAGTGGTTTAAGGATGGAGATATGAATACAAAATTTCTTCACAAAATAATTAAATTAAGATATGCTTAGTAACAAAATCACTAGAATGAGAAATGACAATATTTTCTTGGAGGAGAATAATAAATTAAATAGTTATATTATTGACTTCTACAAAAATATGTTCAATTCAAAAACCCATATTAGTTACATTTATCTAGTGGAGAGAGTTATCCCATATGTTATAACTCATGTATATAATGAATATTTCTCTAGAATTCTTCAGCTGGAGAAATTAAGAATTTTGTGCAGAATATGGATGGTAATTTTTCTCCAAGCCCTGATGTCTTTAGGGTATATTTTTTCTAAGCATATTGGGATATAGTATGGACTTAAGTGATATATTCGATGAATTAATTCTTTGAACATGTTTAGAATCTTCCTAATTTCAATTTAGTCAATGTGACTTTAAATTCTTGTAAATTTTTAATTCAAAATCATCACTGAGATCATTTCAGAAAGGTTGACCAACATACCTCTTAAAATTGTTTCATAACACCAGATAGACTTCATTAGGGATATGTATATTTTGAGTGCATTGGGATTACTTCAAAATCCATTAACATGTTGGAGAAGAAATTCTTTGGTGGTAGTATGACTTTGAAGATAGATATTAGAGAAGTCTTTGATATTTTAGATTGACAATATTCATATAAATCATGTTTGCTATTGAGTATGATAACTAGAGAAATGAGAGATCTTTGGCTTGAAACTAACTAAATACTTTCCATTTTTCCATTTTCTAATATGAATATTTTTCTATGGAATATTTTAATTAAATTTAAGAATACTTATGGATTATAGGTTTTGTTAGATTTAACATATCTCACATATTTTAAAATTGAAATGCATGTGCAGATAGATTAGTCAATGCGTGTATTTTGTTTATTATGACACTTGGTATGATTCATTTATTATTTTTGCTTTTGAAAGTTTTTTTAGAGATAGATAAGACATGTCCAATTATCACATTTGTTGGTTGTTTGATGGGTTAGGTTTTACGCCCCCATTCTTTTGGTTTTTTTTTCTTTTTTATTTGATGATTTTTTTTTTATAAATAAAATAATAATAATAATATGAAAAATAAATAAAATATTTTCAAAAACTTATTAGAAATAATAATATCTTATATTAAACTAGTTTCATATTAGACACTCCTTTACGTTTATTATTTTATGTCTTAGGCGCCAGAAAATTTGCTCAAGAATGGGGAACCACTCAATAAAGAAAATATTTACATATCAAAAACAAGTCCTCCATCTGTTTATGAAGTATATTTAAAGCAATTTGAAAGTGATTTTAAGAATTTTCTAAAGTTACGTTCAATGGAATTAGCAGTCGATGGTATGATGGCACTAACAATTATGGGAAGAGAAATTGATAAAATTATTTCTGTTGAAGGGGTAATTGGCATGGTACTCAATCAGATGGTCCAAGAGGTAAATATTATATTTGATAACCAATAAAAGTGAGTTGTATTAAACACTTTCAAGTGAAAATTTATAGTTCTTTTTTATTATAATGTTACACTTTAGATACCATAGTTTCACTTTGTCATGATGTTACCTTTTTTCTTCGTTTTTCACCCATTATGTTTATAAACTTATTTAAAATGTGATATTTATAAGAACTCTTAATAACATATTAATTAATATTTTTCTTCTTTTTCCCTATTTCAAAAATATTTATATCTAGGAATTGGTTGAAAAGGAAAAATTGGATATGTTTGACGTTCCTGCATACCATCCCAGAGAAGATGAGGTAAGACAAGTCATTAAGGAAGAAGGATCTTTTACCCTTCATACAATGAAGACTTTTAAAATGGGTTGGGATGCAAACCTTCAGAAAGATATTGTTGTTAATAAAAAAGTGAGAGGGGAATTCGTAGCCAAGTACCTCAGAGCTGTTTTTGAACCTCTTTTGATAGCCAGATTTGGTGAAAATATCATGGATGATTTATTCATGAGGGTGGAAAAGTTCGTGGCCGAACTATTTGAGTTAGAGACATTAGAATTTACCAATATTATATTGTTCTTAACTAGAGATCATTGATGATGGTAAGATTAAGGTTGTACTTTTTTTTAAAGGAAAATATAATATATAAAAGAAAGGCTCTAACGATCAAAGATTGTAATTTATGCATGAATGTTATTAATATTCATATAAATTATAGTTATAATTAAATTAATATGGTAAGAACATTCTTCCATAGTTTGTTGTTTCGCTCACTGTTACATAAAACATTTTTGGCAAAATACTCATTTTGGTCCCTTAACTATACCCTTGGGTTCACATTGGTCCCTTAACTTTTTTTCGTGTCATTTTGGTCCCTTAACTTTCAAAATGTTTCATTTTAGTCCTTTTTGTCTAATTAGCTACGAATTTAGCGGCTGATTTCAAAGTTTTCCCGTCTAATTAGCTACAAATTTAGACAAAAAGGACTAAAATGAAACTTTTTGAAAGTTAAGGGACCAAAATGACACAAAAAAAAGTTAAGGGACCAATATGAACCCAAGGGTACAGTTAAGGGACCAAAATGAGTATTTTGCCAACATTTTTTACATCGAATAAAAGAGACACTTCACATTAAGTTCTTATCTGATGTAGAATGTAATTTTTTCGGATGTGGAAAACTTTCAAAGTGAAAAATGTATTTCAGGTCAGATAGAATTGTTCACCAAAGTGATACATGATATTTGACTTTGGTTTTTTTAAACCTACTGATGTGAAATGTTGTTTTTTACACATTGGTCTTGTTAGTCAATTAATGTGATATTTACCTTTAAAAAAACAAAATTACTAGCTCTATGCATACTAACTAAAAGTAATAATTTGATATTATCTAAAAAAACTAAATTTTATCATAATATGAAAATCTACAATACAATCCAATTTTTCAAAATCAACAATATGCATTCTCTTTTCAATATTTTTCTATTACAATAACACATTCAATGAAACCACATATAACCGTGTCATATCCAAAATTTATCCTACCATTTTATTCAAGCTATATGGCTTATACTTCTCATTCTTCACGTACATACCCTTCATTAGGTCATTTGTATTTCATGCATTCCTTAACATTAGAGACTTGAGTCATTAGATCAAGGAATCGTGAAAGAAATGGTTTCTACATGGTTTGAGGTTTCTACACCATACAAGATGGTTTCATTTGAGATTTTCATGCATGGATTATGGTTACTTCCCTATGCTTGTGATTATCAGTGGATTCTTAGGGTTTGACCTTATGATCACTATGGGCTTCTTCTCAACACTCCACAAAGCTTGGTATTTGAGATCAATGGTCATAGAATTAGGGTTTTACATAGCACATCCGAGTTTCATCTTTTTGCAGGGGCTCAAGGACCATGGTTGTCTGACGAATTTACAAAGGCTTGATAGAACATCCTCTAAAAGCTCTTATCTTCATCATTCTTTGGCATCCTCCAACACATGGGATGGCTTGATGGTTACTTACAACACAAGTCATTCATAAATATCATCCAAAAGGCTACAAACTCATGCATTGAAGGCTATATGCTAATGCCTATTATCTCCACGTGAATTAGGGTTTATTTCTCAAATCATGTAGACATTAAAGAAGGGTTCCGTAAGGACTCATTCCTCAGACAAACTCCAATGCTTCAACCATGGTTTGAGTACAAGGAAGATATCATTCAAGGGATGCCTTATGGTTTGAGCTATGTATCAAGGTTTCATTTATCCATCATCCATCGAGTAGGGTTTTGAATGTCATGGTTCAAAGGTGTCTTCTCCAGTCAATTGTTTCTTAAAATGCAAGGCTTTGAGAACTTGGATTACAAACATCCAACTAGGGTTTCCTTAAAGGATTCCATCTATAGAGACATGGTTTATTGCTATTTTTATCAAACAAGAAGCTTATTGGTTGCTTGGATACCGAGGAACTTGGATGTGGTTTCATACAAGAAGATTCATTTGGATTCTTATTCACAAGCTAAGGTTTATGGAAGGCTATTCATCTTAGCACATGGCTTACTTGTAAGGCAAGTTACATCCTTGTACTTCATTCAAGTACCCCATGCCTTAAGGTTAGGGTTTAATCAAGAATCAAGCATGGTCTACAGATGTATTGGGATTTAATTCTCATGAAAGATCAAGTTGAACTCAAACTTTGATTCAAGGCATTCAAAGTTATACCTAGTTCATTTAGATTTCAACATCTCAAAGATTGTGGGCACGATCAAGATTGGTCAACTCATTTGAAAATACTTTGACATGATTCATTCAAGGGCAAAAGATCCAAACATTAAGTTCATCATTCAAGTGCACCACTATATTAATACTACTTCAAAATAAAAAATAATGGACAATGGGCTAGGAGAAAGGTGCTTAAAATATACAAAGTTTCATCCTTGATTTCAAAAGTATGTTACAAGTTGCATTACACCATCATAAATATTATTTCAAGATCAATAAGGGAGAAAATACAATTTGAGAGAAAATTACTTGGAAAAGGTGAAGCATTTCATTGGATTCAAAACAAAGGGTTTACAATGCTAACATCACTACAACATCAGTATCTTTATAAGATCATTCCCTAATTACAATTACAAGACCATTTGTCATCCAAAATCATAAAAATAATATTAAATCTAAACCTAATGATCTAAGCATTCCAATTTTAAAATTTTACCATTTCAAGACCTTATGCCATTTCATCATCATCTTCATTCCTTGCCTATGAGTTAATTAACCATGCTTTAACATTCTTCAAGCTTTCAACTATCAATAACTTCATGACAACCCCATTTCTTTATGTTGAAAAACCTTTATACACTTGTCTTCATTTACATCATAACCATCACATAACCAAATGAACACAAAGTGTCATGCATCTAATAAATAAAAAATATTTGATTAACACCAACACAGTCCAAAACAGATGCAAAACAATACATAATAGCCCGTGTTCAGTCATAAACCAATACTAAAAAATCACAATATCACAACCAGTTCAAGCCATATCCAAATATAAGGAGTTCACTAATTATCCAATCCAATAACAAAAACAGTTCAACACTTTTCGCACCAGTTCAGTTCATGACTGAACTCTCAAGTCAACTCACCTAATTCAAAGCTTCAATGTAACTCAACTAACACTCCCTCACTTAACAGCTAATCACCCAAACTTAAATGAATTTAATTGAACCTAGCACAAACCAACATAACAAACTCCATAACTAGCATAACAGACTCTGAAGCTAAACAACTGAAACCAAACTTAACATCTAAACCGAGCCTAACACTTCAACTCCTTCTAACTACATAACTAACTCCAACCCTATGCAACTGATTCTGATCCAAAATCCAAGCCTATCTCATCCCAATCCTAAAAGTACGACAAACGTCATACTTCAGGACCAAAACGACATTGTTTCATCTAGTTTCTTCATTTCCCATGTTTCGTTTAATGCATTTTTGGGAATAATTTTGTTCGACAAAATTTTAAGGCAATGGTTGCGTTTATGCCTCAGATATGCATACGTAGCCCAGTAAATTTCATGATCGTACCCCCCTTTGACCAATGCCAACACGTTTTTTTGCGTTTGTTTGATCTGAATTAGACTTTGGGTTGAGAACCTTAGGCCAAGCGCTCCGGTAGGCATTACAAACCCCATGGCCATGTAAACCCTCTCTATTTGACATTTAAATTCAATTTTTCTTTAGTTTTTTAATTATTTTATTGTTTAATAATTTTTTTACATGACTTAACTCTTTTGCTAATAAAATTATGATAAAGTGAAGGAATCTTCCAAAATGAACTAACAACACGTATAGCCACTAGAACACAACTAGAGAAAGTGAAGGGATCTAAGTGTCACCCTCTCACTTATCCTCACTCCCCAAAGAGTAACGCCACTTTAACACAATTATAATATAAATATTCATTCTTGTCAATAATGATACAGCTGTTGTATTGTATTTATACAAAATAATAATAAAGTAAAATAAAACTAACTCCCTAAATTAGTGGTAATATAAAATGACCCAATAAAGCTAATTGTTTGGTGAATATCACGAAATAAATATTTAAAATGTGTAGAATTGCTCAGATGGAGTCAGGTGGTACAAATTTTTGTCTAGAATATTTGCATCGTGGAAAGCACGACACAAAAATGAATGTTTTTAAAATAAATAAAAAATGAAATTATAAATATATCAATACGAAAATTATAATTAATAAAAAAAATTCAAATAGTAATTATATTTCTAAATGAAAATTATAATTAATACATTTTTTCAAATAAATATATAAATATTAAAAAACTTAATAACCATATACATAATAATTTTTTTTACACTTTTTTAAAAATAAATTGTATTCTTACATACAAACATTAAAAAACTATATAATTTTTACATACAACTATTAACAACCCATATATATATATATATATATATATATATATATATATATATATATATATATATATATATATATATATATATATATATATATATGTTAGAGGAAAAAGTGGTTTAAAGACGGAGATATGAATACAAAGTTTTTTCACAAAACAATTAAATTAAGATATGCTTAGTAACAAAATCACTAGACTGAGAAATGACAATACTTTTTTGGAGGAGAACATTGAATTAAATAGTTATGTTATTGACTTCTACAAAAATATGTTCAATTCAAAAAACCATAGTAGTTATAGTGATCTAGTGGAGAGAATTATCCCACTTGTTATAACTCATGCATATAATAAATATTTCACTAAAATTCTTTAGCCGAAGAAATTAAGAATGTTGTGCAGAATATGGATGGTAATTCTTCTTCAAGCCCTGATGTCTTTAGGGTATATTTTTTCTAAGCATATTGGAATAAAACATGGACTTAAGTGATATATTCGCTGAATTAATTCTTTGAACATGTTTAGATTCTTCCTACTTTCAATTTAGTCAATGTGACTTTAAATTCTTGTAAAATTTTAATTCAAAATCATCACTGAGATTATTTCAGGAAGGTTGACCAACTTACCTCCTAAAATTATTTCATAACA